TATGAATATAATATACAAGTTTCACTTTTTAAATGGAATTACTGAAATCAATCTACTTTTTCATGATATTCTAATTTTATGACCAGCACCTGTAGATTACAGACTTACCTGAAGGACAAAACCAAATTTGCTGTTCTTAAACTTCATCTAGATGCCTTTTGGTTGGCCTCCGTTAATAATGTAAAATATCTTAAATTTTTTAGCATGACCGGTCATTTAAATTTCATGTTAAACAGTTTTCTAAAATGTGAAGTTACATTATAAAACTCATCCATAAATCTGATAGTTCAAGGCAGGATTTTTGTAATTCTTTACTATTAGGAAGTCCACAAACTACACGAAAAGCCTTCAGTTGCAGGTTAAATAAAAGTAAAAGATCATATTTCCCCTTTTTTTTTTAGCTTCTCTTCATTGGCTTCCGTCCAAATCTAGAATACAATTTAAAATTCTACCTCTCAAGTATATAGCTCTAAACTAGGATGCATCTTAAATAAGACACCTGCTTGTTTCTTATGTTCCCAACAAATCACTTCACTCTCAATCTGCAGGTTACTAGTGGTTCCAAGAATTTCTAAAAGTCCAATATGAGGCAGATCTTTTGGTTATCAGGCTCACCAGTTTTAATTGGTCTACTTTAAGGACCAGGTATTAAAACTATTTTTTTAATTAATTAATTAATTTTTTAATAAAGCTTATCGTTAAGAGCGCCTCAGGCTACTCAGTTATTTCTACTTTATAATTATGCTACTATAGGCTTAGGCTGCTGGAGGAAATAGGGAACACTTTTCCTCACTGTGCGTAATTCCACTTCTATTCACTAATTCTGAATTATTAGTTTGACTTATAACTTTGTTCTGTTTTTTCTCGTCATATATTAATTTAGCCTTGCGCTTGCTTTAGCTGTAACACCGTCTTCGAGGGAAGAATCAGCTGGGCCTCTGTTGTCAACAACTTCATTCACAGAAAATAGAGCTGGGCCTGTTTTTCAGTGTTACGTCCTGTGTCTCTCCTAGAGACGGCAAATTGGGTCAGCTTTGTGACTTACAGAATGTGCTCTCTTTCATTCCTCTGACTTAAAACAGGGTCAGAGGTAATCTGTTCAACTGTTTCTAGACAGAGCAGTGCCTGAAATTCACTTGCAATTTGGGGGAAATACCCCTTCATATGCTTGAGTCAGAGGATTTATTAGTTTTGGGGGGATTATTAGTTATTGACTACAGGCCTTTTTTGTGCTAATCTTACCTCAGATTAATATGCTGCTTTCATTTCCATCTTTTGTCTTTCTAGCTGTTGCATCAGCTGCTTTCTCTTGCCCTTTCCAATGTTTGATTGCTTTTTCTTATTTAACTGTTGGGGTAAAGAAAGAAAATATTTTTTAGGATGGAAAACCTTCCAAGTAAGAATCTTCTAAGGTTACCTACGCAGCTTAATATATTACCATAGATCAATGCATACATATGCATTTCGTTTTCTGCTACAAGGCAGAATTTCATGTTTATGCTGCACTTGCGCATCTTGGATAGCTCTGGACATGACATTTTTCCTTTTCACTGTTGCAGTGGAAGGAACACCGTGATATAGGCGGCAGTGCAAAGTTGAGGTTTTATAGCTTTAGCTGGTAAAGGATAGGGGACTCATTGTACCGGGGGTGTAGCTTGAGCCAGTTAGGCTGAAACGTGTTTTGGTTGCTTAGTGATATTAACGCCTGTTTATATCTGTGTCAATCCCGCCATCACTGGATCCAGCATTGCTTTTGATTTGTTTTTTTTTTGTTTTTGTTTTTTTAGAAGCTGGTTCAACTGTTGTTACGATAGATTTGCATTCTATCCAGCGATCCCTATTTGGAATATTTTAAGGTTAAAGACATTAAATATGATAACCACTGGTTTGCTAGCCCAAAATTAAAACGGTGCTCTAAAGCGGTGTTCACACCGGAAGCGTTAGGGACGTAAAAAGCATCTGGTTTACATGCAAAATCAGCAACTGATTGTTATTGATTCACTAAAACTTGTTTTGCGAACTATGAAAAAAAAAGTTTATAAATACCCAAATTAACTAGAAATGTTAAAACCTGCCGATGAAAAATATTCAAGTGTAAATTCTGGTACTTGCAGTTTTTACCACAAACCTTAAAAACTCTTAATATCACTTCCAGCTGCTATCAATGGCAGTGGGAAATCCCCCACAGGCTGGCTGCAGCAGGGAGCTTCCAGCGCTGCCTCCTGGAGGTATGATGGAGGTCTGGTGCATTGAACAAGAACTGCATATTTTAGTAGGATCATAATCCTGATAAACTGACTTCACAGAAGATGTTTAGAGGGGGACTTTCTCGCTTGATAATGTGTTAAAACAATTTTTCCTGCTCGTCAAGTAAATAAAGCCAAGCTGCTCTCTAGCTTGAAGCTACAGAACAGAGCGGATAAACAACCAGAGCGCCGGCCATACAGCGTATGCGCGTTTTTGATGCCCACAATGCCTTTGGTGTGAACGTAGCATAAGAGAAGAAGAAAAAAAAAAGAAAAGAAAAAAAAAAGAGAAGAGCCTGCACCAGCGAGTAGTGGAGATGTTCTTTGTTCAAATCTGAAAACGTCCATATTAGTAACTTAGATTTTTTAAAAGAGGGAATTTCCCGCATTATAAAAAACAGATTTTCGGGGATGGATCAGATAATGCGCTATTCCCGCTATCCTGCAGTGAATCTCAGGTCCTACAGATCCAACTATGGAGCTAGGCTACCATGACCTTCTCTGACAAGTATTTATGGCTTATTGCCTCTGTGTTCCATCTGTGTGTTTGATTCAGTTTTCTCTGACCCCCAAGTCTGTCATCAAAGATGGCCGCTTACGCTGAGCCTGGTTATAAAGGAGTTTTACTCTCCACTGTGGCAGCCTGCTTTTTGAGAGAAACTGCTGATAAATTCAATGACATATTGCAAGCAAATGTCTGCTGGTGCTACGTGCTCATCTAGGGGGATCAAATTCTACAAAGTCAATAACTCAATGCAATCAGCATGGTTTCTTTAGATAGAAAACCTTTATTCACTCTTTCTGTGTGATCTGGTCTAATTGTTTCTCTAAAGTGCGTTGAAATGATGGGTTATGAATTGCCGATATATTTTTAAACCGAACTGGATCTCCTCCAGTTACCATAAGCCTTTTGGCTGCTCAGTTTAAGAGCTCGGCCGGAATGGTTGGTTTTCCATCGAAAAAAAACGTTTCCGTTTTCAGATAACAGGTTTAACTGCACGCCCTAAGAGGTTAAAACTTACTTTACAACCCAACTCTGTTTTAAACATTTTCAAAGCTTTCTTCCCAATTTCCCTCCTGCGTTCCTTGGTCTTTACGATGCCATTTGTTCTCTAATGTTCTCTTAAACCAGCAGATGGATTTGTTCAAAGATTAAATCACAAAACCAAATAAAATACTATAAAGTTTGTGCTTGTAACCTGACAAATGTGGATGTGTTCTTAGGATGTGAATCCTGGGCTACCCAATAATTATCAAACTTGACCTTAAAGACACGCATCTCCAACGTTCCTTTTTGCTTAAAAATCTACTTTTGACAGAACTTTGTTTTATGAACATTATAACCAGTGTGCGCTTTAGCTCCACCTGCTACAAAACAGTATCTATATCAGTGTTTCTTACCGTTTGCTGCCTGGTGAGGACGTCTCTATAAATGGCTTCCCTGCGCTTCAGCTCGATCTCCACATTAGCTTGGTGTCTCAGAGTTAAAGCCTGGACCTCGTTCTCTGTGAGAGTTGGATTTTCCTTCCACTGCAGAGAGAATGTTTACCCACAATTAGAAACTTTTTCTTTTAATTAATATTGCTGTAATTCCAGAATAAGCCTGACGGGGCGGTGACTGATTACTAAACTAGAACTGAGCAGCTTCTCAAACTTACTATTCTGGCAATGATGTCTTCCATTGTCTCACGAGCTAGGGCTTTTAAAGCATTCGTTGCTTCAATGACCTTCTGCCGCCCCTGGCTTATGAGATCCTGAACAAAACAAAGAAGAGAAATTAAACATTCAATTAGCAACAGGCAAGTTTATGCACATTTTCAGAATCAAAAATTGTACGCAGGTTTCATGCGGTGACAAATTAACAATAAATGTTCCCCACCGGTAGGAATCATTATTCAACACCTACAAACTTGTATTGGTTTTGTGGAAACCTTTCCAACAGCTTTAACCAAAAGAGCTTAGCATTATACTAATCAACTGGGAATAAACCCACCAAGCTGCCTCTTGCAGTGAGTATCCACCCACTCTCAGTGGATGTATATTAATAGCTGCCATCCCAGACGAGCATCGTTATGAACTGGTCGGCTGCTGCTAGACTGGTGTCACAATTAGGAGCGGGGAGGATGAGGAATGTGGGACGCCGTGTCGTTGGGGTGGGGGGTAGAGGGAGGCATATGGGCCTCATTACTTACCTCCAGCTGCTGGTTGGACATTGTGGCCAAAGCTGCCATATTGAAGGAGAAGTAGTTGGAGGTGCCCATATCTGGCTGAGCATAGGACATGGGGTAGTTGGTCCTGGTAGACAGACCCTGGGAGAAACAGAGAGAGGAGAAAAACAGACGGGGGGGATGAATGAGGGAGGCAGGTGTTATAAATAATAGATCTGTAACAAGTATGGTGGCTCCTGTGGTTCTGACATTTTCATCTGTGCTGAATAAAGTTTTCTGATTTGCTAAGTTGATGTATTTACAAGTATTAATTTGTAGGCCAGACAAATATTACAGAGATCTGAAAATAACCCTGAGTGGACTAACAAAGGTATTTATTTTAGAAAAGAGAACATTTTACACTTCTTTCCCTCCCTGACAACAGTATCAGCCAGCTTTATGCTGTATTAAGCCGGGGATACACTGTACGATTTTTTCGATCATTGCACGTAGCTACAGTTCACACTGCGCCATGAAACTGCAGGGTTTTGATGGGTTGATGATGGGTTTTCTGTAACAATCCAGGAGATTTTTAATTTTTTACAAAGAGACTGTAATGGCTGCAGCAGCTTTGGTCTGTACGCGTCATGCCACCTGCCTGTGGTCATATATTTGCAGGGAGCTGCAGAGAGAGCAGCTGACATACAAGCAAATGTAGAACGTTTGGGCAGAGTGCTTATCCGCACATGGTAAAGTGGGACTAGAGAAATATATTACCCAAAGCCCCCAAAACTGCTTGTTGAAGACTTTAGCTGTATGCATAGAGTCTGATCAGGGTTTTAATAAAAGCAAGCTACGCATAGCAGCTTTTTTTTTAACAAAGCTAAATTGAGTTAGAGCAGCTTTTAATTAGCTGCAAACAAGAAAAACCCTCTGGTCAGTTCTTTTTATCCTAAATAAGACTTGTCACACACTGGCTTCAAAAGTATATACTGGCTAATAGCTTCTTCTGCTTTCCGCTGGGTTATTATATGTATGTTTTACACTTTGCTTTTGGTTAATTTGTTAATCAACTTCAGCATTTTGTGTTTTTACCATAAGAAGACCACATGACTGGAGGTACGATATGGAACTAATGAAGCTAAGCAAGTAAGCATTTTCCCCAGCAGAAGTTAAAGCTCGAGTATGAAAAAGAGCAACAAAATATCTGACGCAAAGCTTCATAAGACATGAGTACTTAACGTTGCAGCTTACTGAAGCAGGAGCTAAAGCAGCAAAGAAAGTTGGGGTGTGATTAGGTACTTCCAGCAGATGGCGACGGCATACAACATATCTGCTGATCGCGCTCTGTGCAAAAAAATTATTCAGGCTGAAAAAGGACTAAGTAAACACCATGAGGATGTACGCATGGCTTGTATTGTTTTATTTAAACATTAATATATGTTTTTTGTGCTTATCGTCAATGACGAGACCAATTTAAAAATTACATATAATAATCCAAATGTGTGATTGATTAACTCTGATTTTTTGCTTTTATTTCAAAACTTCTCTAAATTCCATCAGGAAAGAAACAAAGGTTATAGCGGAGAATTTTGAACACTCATTTTGTGAGAGAAACAACTTTCCCAGTATCAGTTGGCTTCTGCTGTATTAAATGTGTGTGTGCGGGTGTGTGTGTGTGTGTGTGTGTGTAATGACCTGAAGTAAACAGTCTTGTCTCAGTAAAGGCCAGCAGAATGCCGATGTTTGTATGTAATTGAGTCTCAGCTGCAGATGGTTTTCCCTTGCCCTGTAATCTGGCCATCCGGTATGTTGTAGGGTGCATGTGTGTGTTTGAGTGTCTCTGTGTGTGAGAGTGGGGCCAACAGGGGCCTCTGGACCTGGTCAAAGACAGGTGTGCAAATCTAAACAGTACAAACCCTCCAAACAACCACAATCTGCACATACGCACTCTTCACTTTTAGCAAGAAGCCATTCTGGAGATTGGGCTGAATCCTCAGATATGCATCAACTTTCACTTTTATTCATTAAAGAATTTATCTGGATTAGACTTTGAAATTTAAGTTTAAATCATATTTGACCTAAACCATCCTAAATGTTGGATTTCTTGCAGGAACAAAGGGTTTGCAGCTTTAATTTCTATTTCAATGCAAGATCACATTTTTGGGTTTCCCCTCTTGTTCAGACTGTAAATCCGATATTATGCATGTGGCTTTTCCTCTACAGCACCAGCTGAACACTACACTAAGACATTAACAGAGGTTGGGTTTCTTTACAGTTGTTGCTCTTCTAAAATGAAAACCATTAAAGAAACGGTCCTGTGGTGAACAGCCTGTTGTGGATCTATAGCGACCATTTCTCAATCCCTCCAACACATTTTTTTGCATGATAGACATTTAATATAATTAACACCTGGCATAGTTTTATAATCTGTATACTTTACAGATCATGAAACAACACGTTTCTGTAGTCTGCTTCTTTCAAGAGCTATTGTTCTTTTTTCCTTTTATGGCATCTGGATTAGCCCAGGTTGACTTCATTTTGAGAATTTTAGCCCAAAGAGACGACAAATCTGGACTGAATAATCCTCCACTAAATAAAGATTTGTTAAGTATTGATTGGGAGCATGGAGGTTTCTTAAAATATCAGTAAGTAAAACTAAAAACATAAACTAAAACTTAAAAGGTGCAAATTAAATAGAACAAATATCTGAAATGTAACTTATAAATTAAATCTAGCAACAATCAATAACCTACACAAGGTAGAATAAATTTATAAAAATACCCCAGAATGCTAGTCCAAGGGTTTTTACTCCATTGTCACCCAAATTTATTAAATTAATTTTGGAAACGTTCCGATTTCATCTACCTAAAGAGGCATTCACAAAGTTTCTACAAAAAAAAAAAAAAGATAAGTTAAGAAAATTCTTAAGAGGCATAACTGAACAAACCAAGTATGAATAACATCAATACCTAAATTTTAGATTATTAAATATAATTGAAGCCTGATGTGTGAAAACTAGAACTGCAATTTAGTGAAATCCCAGGTAAGAGGTAATTCAAATAAAACGTATTTGTAACATACCTTAATTTTCGGACTATAAGCCGCGACTTTTTCCCCATTTTTCGACCTTGCGGCTTATATAACAATGCGGCTTATCTATGGATTTTTACAGCTAACGGCCGCTAGGGTAATACCTAAATCTATAGATTTCACAATCCACTATGTTGACGTCACATTTGCTTCAACACACAGTACGGGAGCCGCGCCCGCGGGAATGCGGAGGTCCTCCGGAAGCAGACTTCTACCGCGAGTGGTACGAGACAGAACGACAGCGAGAAAGATGGACATTGCGAGCGCAAGACAGTTTGTGTTAAACATAAAAAACCTGCGGCTTATAGTCCAGTGCGGCTTGTTTATGTACAAATCATGCAATTTAGCTTCTGCGACATATATTGAGGTGCGGCTAATAATCCGAAAATTACGGTATTTTAAAAAGAAGAAATAGCTTAAAATCTTAACTTTTTCCTCATGTAGTATTTTCTTATTTCCAGATTTTCCCAGAAAAGGAAAATAATTAAAGCAAAAGTCATATTTTTCCAGGTTCTGTAGGAACTCTGTGTTGATCTTCATATAAATTGTTGGTGTTTAATGAACTGAGTTTAACATTAGTATTTTTCCGACAGTTGACTAAAAAACAGAGAACTGTGGAGGGAAAAGACACTTAAAGACATAAAGGAGAGAAGAGTGTTGGAAAAACGATCATTAGGGTAAATTAGATTCTAGGATTACAACAAGGAGAGGGAAGACACCTTTCCATATAAATGATATTAAATGCCCCACAAGAAAAAGGAGGAGTAATGTGACAGGAGTATGTGAGAGAGAAGGCTCCAACTTTCTAAACCTGCATCCTAACTTTGACTAGAAATAAAGCTGCTGAGCTGAACTACTTACTGTAGGTGATGATGGGTCAAAGGCCCAACATTCGCTAAAAAAAAAGCCCATAATCTGCTGTTTTTTTTTTTTACTTTCAAGTCAATTTTTTAAAGTTAAGATGAGTCTAAGGTATGTGTGCTGCTTCAAAATGACAGCTTTATTTCCAGAATTCTGAATGTTTAAAATAAAATTATAAAGGTAAAATTAAAAAAGTCTCTTCTGAGGAAAGAGGGAGTAAAAGGTGGACTGATGAAAAGGAAAAAGGAAGATGGATAGATGGATGGAAGACGGGTAGATGGGTGAACACAGCAATGAAAAGGAAGAGCAGAATGAAGACAAACTGGATGGATCGATGGGACTAAAAAAAGTTTGATTTTTTTTTTCTCCGACAAGCAAAAAAACTGAAAAAAAAATTATTCTACATATAATTTTCCTGTACTTATACAGACCAGGAAACCATCTACACCAAATCTCATTCCCGACCGTCCCACTCAGAACCCAATAAATACATGTGCAGATGTTTCGGTAATCAATTCCTCCTTTCTCACCTTCTTCTCTGCTTCATACTCGGCCCACGCCGCCTTGCGATCCTCCTCACTCAGGGCTTCCTCCTCCTTGTGGTCCAGCAGAGAGTCATGCTCATGATAGCACACTATCTGATCCTTGTTGTTCTGTAGCATCTCGGCCAGGATGGGATCCTAGAAAGGAAAACGAAGCAGGATGAGATACAGTGATGTCTGATGTGGGACAATCCAAATGAGTTCAACATAAGGAAAACTGTTCAGTCTATTCCAGGCATAAATGAAGCTAAAGTATTCTGAAACTCTGGTTTCCATGCCTGCATTGTTTTTGAAAACAATAGCAGAGGGAAATTAAGTCAACATGGTTTTAATTAAGCTCTCTGCAGCAATTTCACTTTTCCTTCTCTCAACCGAGCTTCACTTTGAACTGGAACTTTTTGTCAATGTCAGGTTGGCCCATTCACCTCCTCACGGACCATTCAGAGGGCTTCAGCACCCTGTCACAGCCCTCCTTTGTCTTACTTTAAACAGTGCGTGTGGGAATTTGGTATAAAGAAAAAAAGAAAACAGAATAACATGAATGCTATTGGCATCAAGTAAAACTAAAACATCAACCCATGAAATTAAGCAGTGATTGCAAACCTGTGGTGAATAAATTTAAAATAAACATCAGGCTAGACGCAGTGAAATCGGACCCACAAATGAGGAGGTGGGTGTGGGGGGTCGGCATGAAAACTTCACAAGAGCCATCTTTTAGGGGGTTTGTGCAGAGCTTCTCACCCACACACGCTGTAACTCCTCCTAGACTTAGATCTTGTACCCACTGGTGCTCCTCAGCGACATGTGTTTAGGTTTCTTGGCCATCACTCTCAATCAGGACAAAACCGGGCCACCCTTAAACAACCAAACATTTGGGAACAGCACACAGCGAGCTATTCCACTGCAGCTTTACCTTCTAATTAGGAGATAAAAGCACAGAGGGGTCTGATGGCCCGATTAGGATGAAAAGGCACCATTTGTTTTTAACCAAAGAAAGGGGAGCAAAAGGTCAAATTAAATGCAAAGTCAATGCCACCAGCAGTTCTAAAGTTGGAACATGGACAGATTCCTGAAAGGGCCTGAAAAGCCCTCTGGACCCCATTATACTCCAACCTACAACATGCAGCACAAAAGTATTCAAACCCCCTGAGCTGGTCCAAACTCTACCTTACTAAAACCAATTATTCTAATGCTTTTTATAGGGAATTTAGATCAAACCAATACAAAAGAGGAGCTAATAGAAAACAGAAGAAAACACTAACAGTAAACAAATAAAATAATCATTGAACTAAAATAAAAAGTGTGATATAAACATCTATGCAGACTCCTTTAGTCAATAGTTGGAGAAACCAACATGGGTGTTATGGCAGCACCATGACTTTAGGGGCAGGTCTTCACCAGCTTTGTTTATCTAGACTAGAGGAACGGATCACAAAATCCACGGTTCGGTTCGGTTCGCGGTTTCGTGGTCACGGTTTTCTGTTTGGTTCGGTATATGTTGATTGTTAGCCTGACATGTTGGTCGTTTTGCTGTTAGCATAAACAAAGCGTGTTGCACAATGCTTGCACACTGTTTTTATCCACAACTTTCTTTCCGCCGTCATCGTAGGTCACTCTAAATGCAAAGTGGTCCCATACAGCAGACCTATAAA